GTCCAGACCAGATGGAGTCATGAGTATTTCACTAGATGCTTATGTTCATCTATCTGTTCATTCACTCACTATTAACCACTTCTGAAGGCCCTGCCATGTGACAGGCACCATCCATGGAAATGGCAATGCTGACTACCAAGAATCTTACTATGAATAGAGCCTGTATTTTAGTTCCTTCCATTTAAATCACACCTCCTCAAATTTTTATCATAGATAAACCATGGAGTTGATGAGTTCTAGAAATGTGCTGGCCTTTTCTTGGGATGTTTTTATATTCTATCTGTAGGTCTCTGGATTTATCAATAAAAGGGTAGCTCTTCAGCACTTGGGAGTAAGGTGGGGAGTGAGAGTGATTTTTGTCCCCAGAGGACATTTGACAATGTCTGGCAACATGTGCAACATTCCGGTTGCCACTACTGAGGGAAGGAAGGTGCTACTGGCGTTGAGTAGGCAGAGGCCAGGGATGATATTTAATATCTTAGTATGCACAGGACAGTCTTCCCCCACCCCTGCCCAACAAAGAATTAACCGGCTCCAAATGTCAGCTGTGCTGAGGTTGAGACACCTGGTATAGAGTAGTGGCATCCTACTGCTAAATACCTCATATGAAGGTGACACTTCATGTGGCAGGGACAGACACCCTGAACGGCATCCATCTTTGCCTATACTTTCTTTCAAGGTCTCAGCCCCCCCAGAAGTGGGAACAGATAAGCCACTTAGGGACCATGTTTTCTCACCCTCCAAGTCTAACATAGGAGAGAATACATGGCACTGTGGGTCTTCCTCCAGCAATGCTCCTCATTAACTTGGCATTTTCCTGCTGACCATATCAGGCTATTATGCAAGCAAGGAGACTTTTGAAAGGAGAAGTGATGTCAAAAGATATGCCTGAAAGCTGGTGGATGTATGTGGAATGAGGACAGACACTCCTCACTTAACCTTGAAAAAGGCATGGGGTTGGAGACAGAGTGGTAATTCTATTGTGTGTCTGTGAATCACAGCCCTTCCTTGTAGGATATCAGCTTTCAGAACCATTTTATCCTCTATGTCAGCTCCTCCCCTGGGGCATTCCTTAGCCAAAGCTTGGCTGAGCTGACCAAACTGATTTAGCATGCTTTTGTTGGGGGAGAGTGGAAAGAAAGAGATGAGCAGAGAGCTGTACAGACATATACACTTGTACGCACATGTGTCTGTTTCTGAGTTTAAGGAAGGGAGGTTAGCATACCCACTTCCGAAGGCTGGACAAGTGCTATCTATAATCATGTATAACTATCATCTGCACTGACTAGGGACCAAAGCTTTTCATTCATTGGGTTCTGTAATGATATGAATTTACAGCACTCTGCGGAAACATCCATTTTAAACAAGCTCTTAATGCGAAGTACCTTGAAAAGCATGAGAAAAGAATACGACGCTATACAATGCTTAATCCAATCCTAGGCCCAATCCAGCATAGAATGTGCTTGTTCACAATAGTATTAACGAGACAACATTACTGGCTTGAATGTGAGAAGCTTTTGCTGTTTCGTATAGACTGCAAATTCCTAGAGAGCCTCTTCTCTGACTTTTCCCTCTTGCTGGCGCTTCCCTTTGGTCCTGTGTGCTACCTTACATTTCAGTCCATTTATCTGGAAGCTTCATTTGGAGCCTTTCTCAAATATCCTTAGGGAGCCTCTTGGCTCCTAGGAGTTGATTTTTGCCCCTTAAGAGGCCTCTCCAAGCCATCAGACAGCAGTGCACAAGCCTTCTTTTTTGCTTTTGCAACAGTGGTGGTTTTTATCTACAAGTCTGTGTTCCCACTTGAGACAGTCTGCCCTGCAGCAAACAGATGTTTGCATTGAGATCTCCCCTCTAGATGAATAAAATGCTCCCAGAGGCTAATGCTGGCTGGAAAAGTTCTTTTGTGCACCTATGAAGCATAACTGAGCCCTAAGCAACCACCTTTGATGTATGTTTTGTGATTGGGGAAGAAGAAAAAAATCAAATAGCATTTCTTTCTGCCAAACTGTTTCTTGTAGATAAAAATTTTTGTTGACGTAACATTTTATCCAATGTGAGCTTTGCCGTCTCCAATTAAACAAAGGGTTAGATTGACGTTGCCTTTTCTTATATTATTCTTGAATTTTGTTTTCTCTGATGTTGTTTGGAGATGATACTTAATCAGCAACATGGATCAGATAACCATCTTCCAAATCTCCATCTTCTTTGGTTTGCTGAGAAACAATTTTCATCCAAGCATAAAATACTTTGTTCAAAGCATCAACCTTCAAAAGGTGGACGTCTACAGGCATGCTGAAAATAAAATGAGTTTACTTACTTTGAAGGACATTAGTTTTGCCTCAGTACCTTGGATCCCCATTTTTCACAAGATCTAAGATCAATTTACCTTAAGGTAAGAACATTCGTCATAATTGGCTGATACATTAGCATCTTTCGATACCAAATATTAACTTTGACTATGAGATCAGTAAACCACATAATGATTTTGAACAAGGAATAATAAGTTGAATTTGAGGACCAGTGAAGCTTATTGCAAACTTTTGAAATGATGGCACACCCTTAGACAAAACTTTAAGCTTGGAATCTCATGAAATGTTTCTTGGTATTAAATTCAATCATGAATGTGAATTTAAACATAAGAAAACAGACCACAAGACACACTGAGTAGGCAGTTTGATTTTACCCAGTCACCTTTCCCCATGTCAGGAGGGAAAAGCCCTAAGGAATGTTACCATCAGTAAAAGAAACAATAAAATCTTTATCCCTGAAGACAAACATTTATATCTCAAATCTTTGGAGAGCAAGGAGGACCAGAAGATTCATATTCTCTCTCTCTTTCTCTCTCTCTCGTTTTTGGCTCTTTACAAATCCAGACCACACTATTAATTACTGACTTTTCACTGCTGAAGGCATTACTCTCTATTTAATAAATTAAGCTTTAATTCCTGAGTCCAACAAAATAATTGACCTCAAAAAGAAGATAAATGAATAGACTATCTAGAGCTCCTGATTAGAATCCACTTTCCAGTCTGATTAGATTAGTATTTTTCAATTCGGTGATTTTTCCATTCTTTTTTATCTTCTCTCACAATCTGTAACACCTTTCTCCCTGCCCCTGTATCAGCAAGGCTGGGCTATTTTCATTCCTGGTTTCATGATTGGAAGATATTATGATATTGTTATACTTTGACATTAATAATTTAATATTGTTTCAATTTTAGGACAAACTTGGTGACTAGTATTTCTGAAAAAATTTTGAAATGCTCTTGATTTCATAAAATAATACATAACATCCACATATAGCACACATAAATGTTTTGATAGATGGATCCTTTGACAATTTTGAAAATTTTGCCCTGTCTACTTCAACACTCATTTTCTTTACTCAGTCCTTGAAGAGTAGAAAGGTTTAATAATATTTAACCTGGTTTTATATTAGATAAAAATAAAAATAAAAAATAGTGACTTGCACAAAATGACACAGACTTCTAAGGCATGACTTTTAGATAATTCTGGAAATTTGCTGCCACTGTAGCAACAGAATTCCCATGTTTAAGAAACAATATGATTTCATAGTAAGAAGGTAAACATATGAACAGAGTTCTATTTAAGCTCTGCTGCTTTGGTCTTATTTGAAAACAGATACAAAATAGTTATTATTATAGACATTATTTAATTATCAAGACAAGGGTTCAATTCTATATTAATCAAAACTGAAGTAGCTGAACAAAGTGCTTCTTCAGCTGACTTCAGAGAAAGTAGCTTCCATGGAATCCATGGAGAGGAATTCGTCACTATTTCCCTTATGTGTCTTAGGAAAGACCCCTCCAGGACTTCAGAAAAAAGAAGAGTCTTTTTTAAAAATTTCTACTTGAAGTCCTTGAAGTGCAGGGGACTTGATTTGTCCCTGCATTTCTGAGGGCTTTAGGGAATGAAAGGAAACTATGAAGAGGTAAAACAGAGTCACTTTGTTCTTGGGAACTTGAATTGATAAACTCTGACGTATTATCTTTCCTTAGCTTTTTCCTCACCGCGACTTATATTCTCTAAACAGAGTAAAACTTGAGCTTGGTCTACTCAGGTGTATTTGTGCAAATGGATGGGTTCCCTCCACACAGGAAGTGTCCCTTGAAAGAGCCTGACATGAGAGCTAGTGAGGGTAACAGTATCCAACGGCTTTAATTTCTGTCATTTTTTATATCCTGTAAGTTATCTCAGTAACACTCAAATGCTATTGCAGAATGGCAGCTTTCATTTGTTGGTATGTACTTTTTTAGTTAAAATCCCTTAACCAGAAAGTCCACTTGCCAATATTTTATTCAAGTTCTATTAAATGATAGTTTATATTTATAATGATAATCTAAGACATTTCATGGCTTTCTAACTCATTATGGCCACCTAAATTATATTCCATTATAGCTTTAGTATTAAGTGAATTTAATTGCATTATGAATCTCTGAACACTGCTAATTGATTGCTATATATAGAAAGTAGGAGTCCAAAATATTAAATTAATTTGAACATCCCATTTATGGACTATTCCAAATAAAAGCAATTTAATTGAATTTAGGGTTAGGACAAATTAGTAAACAGGCTGAAGCAAATGTATTTATCGTTATGTTAATGACTATACTTTGCACATTACAGTTGCAACATATTTTCATTTGAGTTTTTATCAAACTGTAGGATTTTCTAAAATTCAACAATAAATGAAAAATGAGCTATTTTGGAGGAGTATTAACTAGGTAACTCCTAATATTAATGGATGCTCTTGTCAATGAATATTATGGGGTCTTCTGTTTTCTTTGACTCATAGAAGATCATAGGTGTAGGTCAAATCTCATTTGAAATGTTGTTTTCGTTGCTCCATTAATACCTCAATCACAGGATATGTTTTTCTATGAAAATGCCCATTAAAAGCAGTTGTGTTTAAGGTAAGTGGATGTCTTAGGCTTTCTAGATGTTATTGATTTATGACTGCTTTCTTGTTTTATCTGCAGAATTTTTCCGAGAGCTCCTGGAGAATGCAGAAAAGTCACTAAACGATATGTTTGTACGGACCTATGGAATGCTGTACATGCAGAATTCAGAAGTGTTCCAGGATCTTTTCACAGAGCTGAAAAGATACTATACTGGGGGCAACGTGAATCTGGAGGAAATGCTCAATGACTTTTGGGCTCGACTACTGGAGCGGATGTTTCAGCTGATAAACCCTCAGTATCACTTCAGCGAGGACTACCTGGAGTGTGTGAGCAAATACACAGACCAGCTGAAGCCCTTTGGAGATGTGCCCCGGAAACTGAAGATTCAGGTTACCCGCGCCTTCATCGCTGCTCGCACCTTTGTCCAGGGGCTGACTGTGGGCAGAGAAGTTGCAAACCGAGTTTCCAAGGTAAACGAAAGTGTGTTGTCTTTCTACTTGGGTCTCCTCTTTTACTGGTTTTAAAACAAATGCTTACCAGAAAAAAAAAAAAAAGGTAAAAATTCTTACTTACAATGGTCCTTTCTCTTAGAGAAATCAACTAAATGTCAAAGCATAATTCTGTTCAATCCCCCCTTGCTTTGTGTGAGAGAAGACAGGATTTCAAGCACTTCCACGAGGTTTGGAAATAAATGTCAATATTTATCAGCAGTATAGCAAAGAAGCTTTCATCAGGAATGGTGCAATGACTGTAATCACTTGGCATTTCTGATCAGAGTTTTAAGGAGGATAAATACTTATGAAACAGTCCATTTAGAGGTTATAATCCTCTAGGCAGTCAACATGACATTCTTCATTAGGCTAGCAAGTGGAGACAAGTTGTTGTTCAGAACAGTAGCATTTGGCATTTCGTCTTTTTTATCACATGTGTCGAAGTGTCCAAATTCCTTAATGGTGAAGGAAGAGCCCTTTGCTGACACCTGTAGAACCAGATTAGGGAGGACTAATGAATACAAAGTATGGATTCTTGCAGAGAATTCCTTTTGGTATCCATTATCTCTGTAATTCCATACCATGAATTGCATTGGGCTTCTGAAAAAGATAAATCACTAATCCACTTTTGGGCCTTTCCTTGAGGATAATGTTTCTAAACCTTTAATGCAAGGGATCATTCTCCACTACTGACTTTAAACATTGAATATTTCCCATGTAGAGGATGTCTGCCTTTGTTTAAGTTCTTCCTTGACATTTAATACTCTTCTGAGATGGACCTGCCCATTTATGAGGTTAGTCCTACAAATAAACTGAAAGATGATTACTTTAAGCAGTAAAGTTAAAAACGATACATAATAGGAATCTGATATCATGTCACCCACAGAAGGTATATTTTCACAAAGATTGTTGCCAAACACCACCTTTCTATTACAGGTCTGTGCCAAAGAGCCACCATATTTTTCATAACTGTTGGAACCGTCTTGCTGTGTTACTTTTTTTTCCCACTCAGACCTCCTCAATATTTATATCTTGGCATAAAGACCACATATACCCTTGAAAATATTTCTGTATGGCACTATTGGTAATATTCATTGCAACCCATTTTTAAATTATTAATTCCCAAAAAGATTATTTGCAAGAAGGCTGTAAAGCCTACAAAGGATTTAATAATATAAAGGGCATATAATTTTGATGTTTAAAACAATATTTTTATTGACTATAAACAATGTTTTAGATACCAAAGGAACGGTAGCCCCAAAAGTGGATTATTAATAATAAGGAATTAGGCAGGTGAAATAGCAAGAGGAAATATGATCCCCTAAGGATAGTTGGTAAAATGTAAAGAAGTATAAAAAACAAATATGTATTCCATATTTTCTTGAATGGATAGATTTTTTTTGTAAAAATTGTTTAATTAAATTAATTTAATAGGTTACACAGAATAATAAGTTTAGTCACAGAGGCTTAAAGTTGAATCCTTTGTTTTTGTTGAAGAATGAAAGATGTAGCCAGCTTTTAAGAAATATGAGGTAAGAAATTCAAAGCATGGATTGATACACGGGACATTGCTGATTGTATATTTTTATTCTACCTGAGTGTGAATAATGTTTATGTTGATGTGTGTATATTATGGTTTGGTGAGGTTCCAGTGAGGAAAGAGAATATTTTCTAGCAAAGTGTCTAAAAAGCCAAAGGTGAAGTTGCTGCTGACTCTTCCTCCTGTTTCTCCGAGTATGGCATTAATAACTCTCTGGAGACGGTGCCTCCTCTTGGTCATTCGCTGACGGTCTCCTTCTGCAGTCTTTGCCTATCAAAATCTAACATGCTCCTCTTCATGGTGAAGGTTGACCTCAACAACCAACCATCAGTAGCATATGACCTTTAATTTTTTTTCATGACCAGCATTCATTTGCAAAAGAACTGCTCTGGATGTGGGATGTATAATAGGTTGTAGGTCAAGTAACCATGGAAAGTGAACTGTTCTTTGCAGATATTGGTTTTCTGACCTGAGTTTCATTAGCCCTAATCAACTAAATTCATAAATCCCATCCTGCTGTCCGAGCACTGCTTTCTGGAGAAAAGAAATGAAGGAAGGAAGGAAGGGAGGGAGGGAAAGCAAGTGAGCACATGCGCCTTGGTTAAAAGAAGTTGAACAATTCTTTTTCTCAAATAATTTATGACTCAGGGATTTAAGTATTTTACCAATAAACTTTCTCACCCAATGATTACCAGATGATCTGTAGCTGACTAGACCAGACATGGGCGTACTAGTACCATGATGATTTTCAGCACCCAAAGTATGTTTTGTAATAAAAACAAAATATTACAAGGACGATATATATTAAGAGAAGAAGCAAGAATTGTTTGAGGTTTAAGCCCTTCGTAAATCTGAGACCTCCCTGTGGTCTATTAATTGAGTGATTTAGAGTTGGTGAAATGATGGCAGAAAAGTTAGAAAATTTAAAGCAAAATTCCCAAATGGAGATCAACAAACTAACTTATTTCCTGCATCCTGATTTGGGTAATTTTTTCCCACTGAATTTCTCTCTTCACTTACAGTGACTTCTTAATCTTGGAAGACATCATTAATAGCTTCTAATTAATTGTTTTGACTGGAAAATTTACCTCTTGACAAAACACAGCCGTTTGACACAAATGTTTTGACATAACATTATAGGGAATATTCTTAGTAGAAAAATGGAGGACTAGCTTGTAAGCATCAACAGAATTATATGTAAAATTTATGCTTCCCATCTTATAGATAAAAACACTGTCTTTTTCTAGCCTTTGGATGGAGCATGTTCATTTTAGGTACCTATAATACAATCTCTGATTCTTAGAAGCATTATGTGGTTCCGGAGTGAATATCTGTGGACAGTAAGCCAGGATTCATTTTTTGTGTGAATGATCATTTTTGAACATGCCAAGTGTTGGTAAGATGTGGAGTATAAGAAACTTTCTTACTTTGCTCATGGGAGTTTAAATTGATTTGCTCACTTTAGATAATGATCTGAAAATCCCTATATTGTTGAAGATGTACATATTCTAAAACTGCATCTTCATTCCTGGAGAAACTATTATTACACATGTGTACAAGTATACTGATAGAAGAATGTTCACAATAACATAAAAACTAGAAATATAACAAATGTCTAATCTGCATGGTGATCTCTTCACACCGTGAAATTCTATGGAGCGCAGAAACCAAGTGAACTACAGCCATACACTCATGGATATATCACAAAAACTTCATTGTTAGAGAAAAAAATTAAATAGCCAAAGAATATATACCATTTACATAAAGTTCAAAAAGTACAAAACTAAGCAATATATTATTTAGCAATAAAATATGTATGTAGTAAAGCTCTGAAGAAAATTCAAAGAATGACAAACAAAAATGGCAGATGATGGTTGCCTCTGGAAATCAAGTTTGGAGATGCAATCCCAGGGAGAGAGACACAGGGGGTTTCTAAAGTTATCAATAACATACTATTTCTTAAGCTAGGTACTGAGTGTAGGAGTGTGTTTGTGAGCATGTGGGCTCGCATGCATGCATGTGAGATTTTTTTAATGAAAGAAATTAAGGTGGGAAAGACTTTACTATTGTTTACCTATGAGTCTTTCTAACTGTGATAAGTCCCTGAGCTACCATCAGTTGTATATAGGCTTACTACTATTTATGGACTTGCTAACAAGTCACTTTCCACACTCCATACTGTGCTAAATGATGTCAGGGTAGCATGGGAGGCAAAGCTCAAAAATGAACAAAAAACCAAATTTTGATAATATAGTAGCCTTGAGAGAATGGATCCAGATGATTTTGTAAGCATTGTTCATTTATTAAAATACCACGCTCATCCCCTTACATACACCCAGTAGTGAGTGAAAATAAGGAGGCCAACAGTGGCTCAGAAAACTTGTCAGACACTGTAAGAAGAGAGAGGTCTTCATAAAGAGCTATTAACAGATAGTCTACTTAAATCAAGCTTAAATTATTCATCACGGAGGCAAATGTGAAATGACTCTAGTGTCTTCAATAGTCCATCATGGTGCCGTTTACACTAAGAACTTTCCATATATTTTTGCTTTAATAGAAGTGACTTATTTGAGTCAAAGCTGTAAATTGTGTTAAGAGCAATCACATTAATTATGTAATCACTTCACTGATTTATTCCAGACAAACCAGGTAGGTAATAGAGCTGGGATCCATAGAATTCAAACTATTAACAAATACTGTCATCTATGTATCTAAAATCTTTCTGCCTTGTGGCGCATGACTTTGAAAAGAAAGTCTGGCTTTCAGTCTCTAGTAAGACCAGTATAATTTCATCAATAGACATCTCCCCATATGTGCTACACAGACTGGTGTTTTTGCATGAAGAGCCTCTTAAAAGGTTCATCCACCTGAATAAACAGCCTTTCATTAACAATATGTGCCATAAACAGAGTCAGTTTTTGATACATGTAGTTGATGTGCTATAAGGAAAAAAAAATCATCAAATTTAATTTGAAATGCCTCCATTTAAAGCATCATCTGATCTAAGTGGAAAACCATTCTGAAGAATTTACCATACATTCAATTTACAAGAAAAAATGGTAATCTATTTAGATGTTTGTTTTGGGGAAAGAATTCAAAATATAAAGCAAGATCACCTGTTGAATCCATCACTTGAGTTATTGGTTTTGTTCTTTCTGTAGTGATTTTTTTTATTGGACTTAATTTTTGTGGAGTGATTCAGACATGAAAGGACCATAAACAGGCCTTAAGCGAAAGAAACCTTTTGATAGGTAATCTGTGGTTTGTGTATTCTCTTCTGTAATTGATGATTATTCAATGTAGATTACTTCAATAATATGCAATGTGATGAAGAACAGGTAAGTCTTTTGAAATTATCAATGATGCTTCTATGTTTACAACCTTTCAGTAAGCATAAATAATCTATGCCTACCATCTTATGATGGTGTTTTGAGCATTA